GCCGGGGGGCTGGGGGAGTGAGCAGAGCTGTTGGGGGTCCCCCATCGCTCCCTCCCCCCTCCTCCAGACCCCCCCAACCCCTTACTCACCAGCACTGGCACCCTAGTGCTGAAACATGTGGCCTGGCCAGCCGCGTGTTTCAGCACCAGGGCGAGGGCCAACCATAGAGACGCTCTGGCAGCCAGAGCATCTCCATGGAGGACCCAGCCTCCGGTTGCCTCAGGGCACGGTCAGGGCCTGTGCCCTGCCCCGCTTTTTTAAACATGGATTTTTTTAGACCTCTGGATATCCAGGGGTTTCATTTTCTCCCCGTGCTGCAAACTTGCAGCACGGGGAACATTTTTTTGTTCCTGCATGTGCCTGCTGCCCTGCCTCAAAGGGGTTTGAGGTGGGGTAAGAGGCACATGCACGCTCATGTGGACATGCCCCTTGTGTGTCATATAGGTCAGGTACAGGCATTACATATTTACTGGTATAAGTGATTGGAAACCAGCCTATACCTGTAACAGAACGGAAGTTCAGCACACAGAAGTTCAGACTGGTTTAAAAATGGCATAACCCAGTCTAAGATTTGCCCCCTGACCAAAGGGTGAATGTGTGTTCTGTTTGCTACTGATGTAAACTACGCCGCTTACAGAAAACCATATAACTTAGATCAATTCTGCCTTGGGCTTTTTGAATGTATGTACTTGGCCATAATGCCTAGTTCCATTTTGCAGGGAAGGAAGCTTTGGTTACTTGGTTTCCAAGCAAACTTTGTTTTCTGTGTGTAATAGTTCTACGTACAACTGCTGTGTTCAGTCACACAGAACCTCATCCACCTAACCGAATATTGTACCTGACGTAAGTTGCGCATTTCCTTCTGTATAATGCACTATATAGATAAAACTCAATTAGATGGAATATCTCAATTTAAACTTAACATAACTTGTCCTGATCAAATTGGAGCAAAAATGGATATGCAGAATAAGGTTTACAAGTGGAAATTGGGTTAAAATGATTAATAAATGTCCTAGTTCATGTTTGATCAATACCTTATGAATGAAGCCTCCAGTTTGTTTAGAATTCTGGTTCATACATATCCGTATCACTTTCTATTCATGCATTGACAGCCATTGCTAACGTATGCTCCTTACACTTATAACATCTATTACTAATTTGTAACCTTTTTACAACTTAATTATTGATATACACTTAACAAAAATCATGACTGAAAATTGATTGCGCTTTTTTTTTCAGCAGCTTCTTTTGTAATCTCATTCAAAGGACGATCAACATCTAATTTCCCTCTTAAGTGCAAAAACAAAGCAAACAAAAGGAAAGCAAACCAAACCAAAACGCACATATACACACAAGCTGATTTATGTCCTCATAAATTACTATACTGAAATGGGCCTGAAGAGAATGTTTCATAATATGAATTTCTGCATTATAATTAACAGAAATGGCAAGTAGTAATGCCCAGGAGGGAGAGAGAGAGAGAGAGAGAGAGAGAGAGAGAGAGAGAGAATGTTTACTTAGGACAAAACCCAAAGATAGCTGTTAACATTTCTGTTTTTGGAAGCTAAACCAGGAATTTAGTATACAAAAGCCCTGCTGACTAGCAGAAGCTTTTCAAGTTGCCACATATTGGTCTGATGAACTATTAGAAATAGAAAAACTGCAACAAAATATTTCAGCACCACTTGCTTTAAAAACTAGCTGAAATTGTCCGTGTAAGAGCCTTAGTTATATTTATGAATATGGTAAATGATGGCAAGGAAATTAGTAAAGACTCTAGTCTCTCCTACAAGATTGCCTCTCTCTGTTCCAAGCAAAGCCTGCTGTAGATGGCAGATCTCACTTCTGCACCTGGCCGAGTGATTTACCAGAAACTTGACAGAGTTGTGGAAGCTTTATTTTCTTTGTTCCATGGGTGCCTGCCATGGAGAGCCAAGGCTGGATTAACTGATTCTAAATCCCTGGGCAGTTTGCCAGAGCAAGGCTAACGCTGAAGAAAATGGAGCTCCCTGAGATGATTTCAGGACAAGCTTTAAGTATCAGTACTTCCTAGGTTCAGAATCCCCAGGCAAAGAGCATAATGCTTCATGTCAAGCTGGTAAGCTTTTCCCCTGTAGGCTGTAGTTGCCAGTCGGCGTGGGAGTTACGTGAGCTTTCTGCCTGCCTTGGACAATGGTGTTTCTTTTGGGCCAGTTCTTCTCTGGCAACGATCCATCACTCATAACATAGGCCTCTTTTCAGTGGACAACGTACTGTATTAGAATAATGTGCATGGACAAATCTAACAACATGCCTATTCAGGGTCTCCATTTTCTCTTTTGCTAGCACAGCCATTTTGCTTCTAGAGCTCCCATTTCTCTCATGTTAGCTTTTGGCTTGCTGTTGTTCAAAGGGACCTAAGAATTCCCACGCTAAATCAAAACAGGGGCCCATTAAGTCCAGCATCTTCCACTACATGCTTCTGAGGCAGGTACACAACCACACAGCACATACTAGCTCCTTTCACATTTGGAGGAAAACTACGTAATTGTGTATGAAATTCTAAGCAGTTTTAACTATGCCTCCCTTTTGTACTGCCAGATTTTGCTGTGTCCAGATCGGTGCAATATTTAAAGTGTTTCACGTGATCAAAAGACATCTTCCTGCCTCTAACTGCCACAGCTTGAGAATGCTGATGACCTAAAAGGGTGGTGCAACCTATTGGTTTGAAAACAGGAAGAACAGCCAGAAACCCATGAGTTCACAATCCCTCTGTGGTCTTGGGGACGTCATTTAGGATGAGATCCAAGTGTTAAAAGAGTCTCATTGACACAGATTTTGAGACTGTGAAGATTTACCCATATACTTAACGATATGCATGAGCATGTGTGTAAATCTCTGTAGTACTGGAGGCAGAAATGAGAGAGTCATCAGGCCCATAATCTCTTTGCCACCCCAGTAAGCAAATGATGTAGTAATAATCCACCCCTCAGCAGTTTGTTAAAAAGATTAATTCACACCTCATTTCAGTTTTGTTCCTTCAGACACATGAAAATAATCTTTACTTTTTATTTCTCAAGAAGCAATTCATTTCTTGCCCAAAGTTTTCTATCCCCATGGAAAAAAAATTGAATTTGGAATGTCTTCACCATCCTCCGAACTGATGATAAATCAATATACAGGTGTCTGCTAACAGTAGGTGTTAACTTGCTGAAAATTGCTATTTAATCTGTGACTACACCAACTTATTTCTGTTTCAGATAGCATTTGGGCACTGTATTTGTCCATTAAATTAGTTGAAACAGACCTTCCTTTATAATATGGGAGAAGTTTAAGTAAAAAATGAGTGATGTCTAGACTTCTGTTCTTCTGTATGATTCTGTGCCAAAGGGAAGTGAAAATCAGCATCATATAATTATCACTGTCTGCAAACATTTCCAACTCCACAACTTCCAAATTTCACAATAATAGAGGCCATGAAATACCTTTTGCCTAAGTTCCATAACCCTAGGAACTGAACAATCACATAGGAGAAGACAGTTTCTTGCCCCCAAGCATTTGCCATTTAAATAGACGAAACAATGGGGAAGGGGTAGGAAGCAGCAGTGTGCAAAGAGATTAAATGACTTGCTCTATGGTTATAAAGTAAATTAATAGCCTAGAGATGAATAAAGGCCCAATGCCCAGCATTCCAACATAGGTCCCTATCCATTTGGTAGTAGGGGTGTGAAAAATGGGCCCTATTTGATTCGAATTCGGTCCAAATCGGGGACAGTGATTCGATTCGTTGATTCAGATCACTGTCCCCGATTCAATTCGGCCAAATCTGAAGATTCAATGCTGATTCGGAGAAGCTAAGACACAGACACAAGTGTCTGGATTCCAGGCACTTTAGTCCATTATTAGATCTGGTTGTAAACCCTTTTATACAGATCTCTGGCAGCATAACAAACCTGAAATGGTTTGATACAGAGCTGGTATTAAAGAGAATTAGACGCGTTAGTTTTTCTTCTGGCATATCTTTCAAGAATGCCTCAAGCTCTAAATATTGGTGGTTACTTGAGGGCATGCATCCTTTCCTTTCCTGGAAGCATGTTTAAGACCTCAGAATGAAGCAGACAAATCAGAGAAGGCCCAGCAGACTTAGGAACCGGTACCATGCATTTGAAAGGAATAATTGGATCCAGATCTGGTTTAAGAGTCATAAGTGTAGTAAACAGAGAAGATGATATTTGCAGATAGATCCCTTATGAACAGAGCTTCTGAGGATTCTGGTGATGGTGGTGGTTTCTGAAATGGACGAGGACAATTTCATGCAATTTCTGTGTCACGTGAACTGCTTTTGGTTCCTTTGACATAAAATGTGCAATTTTATTGTTTATTGTGGTTTAACTGCCAGTAAGAAAATGAAGACGTGGTCTTGGAAAGATTAGGTGCCAACAGCAGGATTCTTGATAGCAGCACAATGCTTCTGGAAATAAGTGTAAGCATGGGCCTAGCTGAGTTTAGGAAGAGCTACAAGACACTTCTTAGTTTAGGTCTTCCTAACCAGTTAAATCCTGTTTTTCAACTCTCTGGCAAAGGTGTGGGCAGCAGGACAGTATGTAGCAAAATCATCTTTATTTATGTATTTACACTGAAGGGTGATGGGCCCAGAATAAAGGTCAATGAAGATCTGTCTGCTGTGCACCAAGTCTGTGGGTGTTAGAAGAAAACAGAGACATAGCACCCCTGTCCTATATTTTATTAGGAAATTAACAGGCAGATTATTAACCTGAAATTACAAAGTGAATCTCATTAAAAACAGATTAAAAGTCATCAGAATTATTTTTGATTTCTATGAAACATAATGCCCAGAAATAATCCCTGTTTACATCTGTAAATTTTGACACCCTTAACATTTAACTACCGCACAGCAGCAAAATTGAATAATTTTACCACAGTCTGTAAAATAGATACAGTATGCTTTTCTCTAAAGTCCAACTGAGATATGTGAAATGTTTAAAACAAAACCTGTAAATATATAAGCAACAATCTGAAAAGATTCCCTGTGAGCTCAGTTTGATGCACACCAGCTTTTCTGATTACTGTTATATGTTAGTGTGGTGAGGTGAGCTGCTATGTAATATTATGTGGATAGAGGGTATCAATTTTGTAGCATTATTTCTGAAGTCCAATTCCTTTCCAACTAAAAATTCAGATCTTGGCTGTTTATATATGTCACTAAAGCAGTGAAACAAAGTCGGTGAACTCCCCATATCACCGGCTTCCCTTACCAGCAATAAACCTGGTTAGTAATTTGGCCTAAGAATTTGTTTGGCAACCTCCAGTATTCAATCACTCTCTTTCATTTACATTCAGGATAAAATGCCTTGCTGGTGTGGAGAGAGCAAATTGCACCACTCCCAATGAAATCCTCAAGTAGGGTGCAAATTGTGCACAGGCCTTGTGCTTCTGCCTTTTTACACAGGGATGCATTGCAGCTTATTTCTTCTAAATCCAAATCCTGCTCACTTTTGTATGTGAGAGTAGTCATGCAAGGCGAAATTCTGCTCTTATTATTGCAAACAGAAATATAGTGCAACTCTGTTAACTTCTGTAAAGTTACTTTAGATTTACAATGGCATAAATGATGGCAGAATCTGGCCCTCTGGCTTGAGGAAGGGGTACCCGTGAAGAGTGAGCAGGATCTGGGGCTTGAGCCAAAGGCCATGCAAATCAATGGAAATCTTTTACTTCAAAGGGTTTAGCTCAGGCCCTTGGTTCCTTACATAAGGACTAGAGCCTTTATGATACCGGGCAATGAGCTAAGAGTCCTCAGACCCTGGTTCAGGAAAGCACTTAAGTCCATGCTTAATGTCAAGTCCCCATACAGACTTAAAAGATGTCCTAAGTTGGCATCTCTCTTCCTATGAGAACTGTTAAAGATCAAAAACTGGCAGGTACAGTGACTTGACCAACAAGATCCAGTTTCATTAGACTTTTGCATGCATTTTGTTAAAGATTAAAGAAAAAAAAAGCTGGACAAAATAGATCTAGAAAAATATAAAAGCAGTGAACTTTCTTTTCTAAAAGAGTTTCTGGACAAGCACATTCAGATCACAGTGCTAGCTATTTATTGATAAATTCTTTGGCAGCTATTTTCTAGAAAGCAAAATAATTCCTTTTGTCTGTTCAGTATTTTTTGTCCCTAACAAAAATTCATTTCTTAAAAAGAAATCTACAGCACTTCCCTCTATAAATAATATTGTCCCAGATGAAGCATTAGTTCTTCCCTGAAGAAAAACAGATTTAAAAAAAAAATCTAGTCAATATCAGATAAATGTTTATGTAACAACCTAAAATGGAAACAGAAAAAAAAGGAAAATCATTCAGTGTGTGGTTTGTCATTCTCTAGAATGTTAGCGATATGTTTATACAAGAAACCCAACATAAATTACCCTATTTTGCAAAATCTAACTAGCAAACTCTATTGCTATCAGCAGATTCATAAACAGAATGTACATATTACTAAGTTCAAGTATTATTATTATTTCTTTTCTGAAAAGGAAACACAAATTCCTTGCCATTCTGCCTGTGTTATATGTAGTTTTGGTCTTTCTGAGCAACAATAAATCATACTCTATTGTTCTTGAACAACATAAAAATGGAACTTAAGAATGTACTATGTTAAAACAACACAGCACAGAGGCTTTAAGGTGTGTTAGCTTGGTACAGTAGTCATGTGTACTTTCATATGGCTGCTGAGCTTAATACCTTCCAGATTCACAACCTTCAGTTCCACTTAAAAGGGAAAAGGAGGCAGAGTGAGGGGAAAAACTATATCATGATATATCATCTTGGACTCTTCTTGGTACTGTCAGTTGTTCATAGGTTGGGAGAGTGTTGTTAGGGAGGAAGATATCTGGATTAACTGCATTGCTTCTTTGAGATGATCTGTTGCTGCCTTGGCCTCCCTGCTGACTGGAAACTAGATGCTGCAGCATATCTGTGATAAGGTTCAGCTTCTGGTCCATTTGTGTTACCTACAAAAACAAAGGGAAACTTCATGTATAATAAGACACAACATAAGAGAAAGGAATAATAAGACACAACATAAGAATGAGAAATTAAAAATAGCATTTTCACAGAGCTGGCACAGACCCCTCCTGTACACACGGCACATTCAAAACTCTGAAGGCACAATCTTAGAAAATGACTGCAGAAACCAAGATACTGAATCCATTCATTATGCTAGGAGAACACGCAAGTGTTGGTTTGAGCAAGGCTTGTTAATATTCTAGCCTGGAATGTGCTTTGATGTTGGTGTGGTTACACCAGTGTAAATGCAAGAAGGATCAGGTTCTGAAAGAGACCCACACATCAGAATAGAGAGTGGTAACTAGAAAGCAGAACTTGGTGTGGAAAAGCATAATCAAAAGTGGTCTTTTTTTTTTGTCTCTTTAAAGCAGTTTAAACTTCTGAAATGACAATGTTTGCTAATCACTTCAACATGCAACAGCAGATTCCTGCTCTACTTGTAATCATGTAATAGACTGCTTGGGAACAATGCTTCTAATGTGTTGTTTAGGCTCCATTACCAAGACCATCATGCCTCTTCATGCTGCTTATGTTAATAAGGGTAAAACGGAAGATTAACTAGTCAGAGGTGAAATCCCTTCTGGCACAGGTATGTAGCAGCTGGATCCCACATCTACTGCCTGTTTACAACAAACATAGGAAGCTCATGGGAATAAGAGTGGGGCACAACAGAATTTGGCTCTGCTACCCCAGTCCTCTAGTGGTACAACCTCCATCTATCATAGTTACCTGAATCCAAGACAACTTTGAATTTAAGATGATGCCCCAGTAATTAGATACCATACATGAAAAAGTATAAGTTTTAAACACATTTATCATATAGCATCTAATTATTGTAGGATCATCTTAGAGTTGTCCCCCTGACACATTTGTGGTGGGAAAAGCAGCAGCAAGGGGGCAAGCAGTGCAGGAAGGAGTAGCAGAGAGGAAAGTGGTCTGATCCCTTCCTCCTTGCTCCATCCACCTGCCCCACCACTACTTGCTGATGTCTGCCCCACCAGCCACTTGTTTGTCATCCCCTGGTGACTTACACACTCCCTTCTCCAACTACTCTTTACCCAATTTGGTGGTCTTGGCTCTAGCTCCAGCCCAGGGCACTGAGAATATGGTGGTTCTGACCCTAGCCAAGCAGCAATGGTAGAGTCAGCTCCTGGCCCAGCTCTGGGTTAGGTCTAAAGCCCAAGCCGGAGGTGCACCAGCTCTCCCATGCTCTCTCTGAGCCATACACTGTGTGGTCTCCTTTGTGCTCCCCACACCTAGAACACACAATCTCCCTCACACTCTACCCACCCTGCACCATGCAGACTCCCCCGGCTGGGGTCAGAGTCAGGGCCAAAACTGTAGCTGTAGCAATCACCTGGCCTGGGCCATACTCAAATGTAGGAAGAGGTTTCTGTCCCTCCATGTTGAATAGGGAAAAGAACCTCATCTTGGATTTGAGTAAATACAGTAAGTTATTTTGTCAGTGATGTCATTTAAAGCAGCCCAGCAACTGTTCCAAGCTGTGGCAGGGCCGAGTTGGCCTTACAATCAGTGGGAAGTCACTTACTCCTTAATGGATACCCCCTCATTCCTGCCCCAAACCTCACCTATTTCTTGGAGAGTAGCTCCCTAAATTAATCTCTTTGAACTTGATCTTCAAATTTTTCTTCTATTTTAAGGAGGAAATATTGTAAGAAATCAGAATTCTTCATTAGGAAAGGCTAAATAATGGATTTGCCACAAACCTAGAATATATCTGCTACCTTGGAGAAAACCAGGACTGAAATACTCAGTCAGATTCTCAGTGTCCAGTTTCTTCTATGTCCCACTGAAGAAGTAATTTGCACCCGCTCTTGTCATAGGATACTAAATCTCTGTTTTGGCTAAGCAGTACTGACTGAGGCACTGGGGGTAGAGGTAAAGGGTAGGGGCAGATTTAAAGCTAGTTTACTCCCTGCCCACAGCACTGTACCTAGACTCCTGGTGGCAAACTTTTAGTATCGGGCTCCCCTTTGCCAAAGATTATAATAATAATCATCACTATTTTCACCATTTGGGGCCCCCCTTTCTGTCCAGGTGGCCACCTAGTTCACCCATGCCCGTGTCTGACCCTGCCTGCCCACAGACGTGGAAATTGGATTGGTGCCCCTTTTGAGATTGTTCTCTTTCAGTACTTTAAGCAGCCTGCTTAAGGCATCCAGGTCTTCTTTTCCAACCTCTCACTTCCTTCGATAAGTGTAAAGAGCAAGCTACATTTTCACTCTAAGACTTTTAGCTTTAGTGATGATAGAGATTCAAAGATGCTAAGGAAGAGAGGTTATAGATGAGAAGATGTGCCAACTTTACACAGAAAAAAAAAGTATGATGAAGAATCCTGACAGAAATATGTATCACTGCCTTGGGTATCAGCTAGAAAGCAGTGAAACAAAGGTATAGAAAGGAGTTAGAGTGCAAGAGGGAGCAATTTATATATGTCTGGCTATCATCCAAGTATCAGTAAGAGACAATAAGGCTGAATAGAACATCAACAAATCTGGAGGATTTCAAGAGGGACTAAAATCATTTTCCACTATACAGAAAAATGCTAGTCCTGTCAAATGCTCTATATAACTGCTGGGAAGCAGAAATAGGAAATTTAAAAATATGAGGTGCCAGAGATTTATACTTTGCAGCTGTTTTTGAAAACATGAGACAAAGCATCCTAGATAGTCCATGAAACACTAGTAAGACTGGATGGAAATGGCTGTTGAAAGATGAGATTCTTAAAACGAGCAAGTTTAACAACATAAAGTGCATGACTTCTCAAAAGGAGAAATGGAAAATGGCCTTTACTTCATTCCATTAAATACAGTCTCCTCTTAAATACAGTCTCACCCCCTCAGGGAAAGGTGCATCTTTTATGAGAGATGCCCGTTGTGGATGGTCAAATGATAATGCTTCAAGACATGACAGCAAGAACTAAAAGTTGAAGCTAGTGATGTTTCCTGGATGGTACTTGTTTGAGATCACCAAGCTGGCCAAATTGGGTAACCTCTGAAAGAATCAGAATCAAAAGCTACAGTCTTACAGCAGCCTTCAGAGGCAAGGAGAGCAGTCCTAGAATAAGAGTAGTCTTTTTACCTAAGTATTTATTCTATTGCTTTTCTAGGAGAAGTATAGTCTATTTTTTAATTATTGTTACTTCAAACAGGGATTGCCAGAGGAAACACTGACCAAACATGTACAGAAACGTGTATCTTGGAGCTTTTGCAATGGTGAGCAATTGAAAATGACAGTGGATTGGACTGAGATCTGGGTAGTCCTTCAACAGCTGTGCACTTACTAAAGAATAAGTGAGACTTGAGTATTCTTACAGGGGAATGAATTCCTACAGATAATTTTCTAATTTTCTCTAAGGGACCTGGGTTAGCTTCTGCAGCTGTGGCATGGAGGCGGCCCACAAAAGCAGATGCAGCAGCTAATTATTGTTGAGTTGAGCCACCTGAGATAAAAAGTCAAGGCCTTCTTCCATGCTCCTGCTTATCTTTGTGAGCCTGCAGAACCATGTGGCTGTGTTTGTACAATAAAACAGAGCTTGTTGGTTCTAGTTATTAACTTTTAATCTGGTGTGCTTATCTGTTTATAAGTAAATAAATCCTAAATGAACTTAGTGCTTATATGGAGCTTGCTCCATATCCCAGAAGCAAATGGTAATTATATGAAGTCATAAACTTTCAGTGATTTCACTGGTTTAGACCAAAAAAGAACCAAGTCAACAGCCTTCTTCAGATATTGCAAGAGAAGGGAAAGTGTAGGTTTCCACTACATCACTTCGCTGGTGGGCCTTAGTCCTGTTCTGGATGTCCTGCAGTGTCAAATCCTGCTCGTTTGATGCTGAGCTGGGACCAATGGTACATTTCACAAAAGAGAATGAACAGCCATTAAAAGGCAATGGTCATCACTGATATACTGGAACATGTGAATGGTGAAAGGCTCTACATGCTGGTACCCCATACTCTTTTTCTTTTCAATCAAATATTAATTAATATTATCCCTGCAAAATACTATTAATTTGCTTACATCAAAGACAACAACTATGCCAGTTAAAATTTTTTTTACAGCTCAGCATGAATAACAGTACCATATTTATTAAACTGGATTTAAATGCAATGAATGCATCTTGTATAGCAATGTATCATTTACTCGTGAATCATGCTTTCAAACACATTTATTTGATTAGAAATTAACCAAGATGCCAGATTGTATTAAGAGCAAAGCAAACAGAAAATCTGCTGATGTTGCTATAACCTTTTTGGACAACTCTGATCCTTTCACTTAAAACAGCAAAGCATTCTAATAATATAGAAAACTAACTCAATTTGATTTTGCCTTCGGAATGAAAAGTTAAAGAAAGAGCTTTCTGGCAGATTTAGGTTTCATAGAAAAAGAATATGAATACCGGACAGACATCATTAGATACTTAAATGCAATTCAGTGGGTGCATCTACATGTTCATCATTGCACTGTAATTACAGCGCATTAGGTTTAGTACCTGAAATAACAAACTAATAGACTAATTCTACTGTGCATAAGCACAATTTTTGCCTGCCGTGCTAATGCACAGTAGAATTATTCTACAGTGCATTTAGCTTCTCGTGTAGACACACCCAGTCTCTGTGTGTGTGTGTGTGCGCGCGCGCGCGTGCATGCATGTGCGAGCACACATGCGTGCATTTTGGAGAGGTGCTGGCAGTAGCAAGTTGAGTTTGAACCTTTCTGGAGACTACACAGTTATTCTATACAATCAGGTATAGGTATTGTATGAAAGGAATATTTCCTACTCACAAAAACAAATGCCCCCCCTTTAAAAAATAATTGTGCTCAAGATTCAAATCAGAGACAGACTTCAATGAAGTTAACCAGATTTACACCCGGCTGAAGATCTAGGTCAGAGAAACCAATATACATGTTGCTGAAGGCCCTT